GTTAATTCTAGTTCAGCACCCCCACCCCCCTCCCCCCGCCCTCCATTAAATGAACAGCATGCAAGATATCATTGCGACCATGCGAAAAAGTAAAATCTTGTTTTTGAAGAGGATAAATTCTTTTAGGACAAATTTTTTCCCTTTGTTCTTTTAGAACAGAAGTAAAATCCTTTTTTGTGGCAAATCTCTTTTTATTTTTTCTCTTTTAGGACAAAAGTAAAATTCTCTTTTGGAACAAATTACACATTTTTATCGACGAATGACGGAGTTCGTGTATTAGTGAGTGGTATGCACGAGAAAGTAAACGACCACTGTTGTAACCGTCTCGAAGAGGTGGCGCACATACATCGAACAGGTTTCAGGTACTAACTGGAGATATGCAGGTCAAGATCGAATAAAACTGCACCCAGTGAGAATGGGAATATCCTTATATCTTTACTAATATGGAATACCCACACTGATTCCCCAAGCGATCTTAATATTGTTAATCTACTTTAGCAAGATGACTGATGTTTTCGGTTCAAAAAAATTCATTGGTTAAGCTATACTTTGCATGTGATTTCCAAGCCATACGAGTCCTCGCCACGGCTTACGGTTGAATAACCAACTTTTTCCACACGTGAAATGCATCCAAGCGGCACATCGAATTGACAGCACTAAAATTCTATCTTTTTTTTTACATATTTCACTGGTTTACTTAATAAAAGCCTGTGGTTTCATCTGTTTTTTTTTTGCGAAGTAAGAGCAACAATTATGACAAGCTATAAATACTAGCTGTGTTGCATCATGACCCCATCCTAGGTAGGTAGTGCACTGGCGCGAAAGCGGCCTATATAAGGCTGCCGTATCTGCATTTGAGGTAGTATTTTATCTATCGTAGCGTGTCGACCAGTGTCAATCCGTCTAGTATCGCCGATCGTTCCCGTGTAGTGTGCCGACCAGGACCACTTACGAAGGACGAGCACCCCGTTGCAACCCCAAGTAATTGCCAAGGAACCGATGACCCGACTTGCAAGGCCGCAGTACTCGGCCACTCGACTGGAGCGCCCGGGCCAGTGAACCCAACAGCTGATCAGAAAAGCAACATCAGAAGAATTTGAAAAGAGATGCAATTGCATCAGAAAATAATTTCCCTATGAAATAACAAAAAAATCAAAAGCGCATGAAAAAACGAGGAATCCGGGCCATCACAAAATTCTCGACTCGTATCATGCCTTTTTGCAGCAGAAACGGTAATTCTCTCCTATTAAATTTGATGCTACCAGTACTTTTCACAGCAAAAAGAAGGTAAAATGCAAGAAAAAATAAAGCAAAATTTTCTAAAAAAAGAAGAAAAATAAGCAAAATTATCAAAATGAAGGGATGTCGGGGATGAGGGAAAATGAATCATACGAGGCAAAAATCTTAATTTCACAATTTTGGCTTATAGGAATACGAATTAATCGGGAAATCAAGGCAAGAAAGATGAGAATGATGAAGGTTTAAAGAAGAAAAATAAGAAATTGAAGTGAAAACGAGAAGTTAAGGCGTTTCGGTCCATTACTTGAACTGTCTGTTAGACGAACACATTACTTCATCGGTATTATTTTGTCAACAATGAGACAAAAGAAAAATTTCATTATTTCCAGCGAAGAAAAAACTACCTTACCAATCAAGAAGCAGGAAAATAACACTCATTTTTACCAAAATTCGAATTTGAAAAAAATGGTTTTTATCAATTTCCAAAAAAAGCATACCAAACGTGAACCGGAAAGATTACACTTATTTTTATAAAAATTCGAATTTAAAAAAAAATGATTTTTATCAACTTCCAAATTTTCGACGAGGA